AGATGGGCAGTGAGTCGCACAAGTTGCAAGCGGAAGATGGAAGCCAGGAACTGAGATTAATTCTTAAAATTTTGATACAGTTTTATCCATCAAAAATATGGTTTTTTATCTGAAAAACATAGAGTTAATATTTGATATCAAATTTGCAGATAATTCCTATTAAGCAAGTGTTGATCTTAGCTTAAGCCACAACACTTTACCTCCTTCCCGAATTAAATCCCACTCAAGTATCGATTACAATTTGGCATTCACCTAGTTTTTGGTCCCTTCAGCTGACCCAGAACGATCACGGCTGTCAGCCACAAGTGCTCCGGGATGCAGAACGCAAAATCACGAGCTCAGACTCTGCCTCCAACGCAAAGCATTCATAACTCTCACGCTCCGGTTTCGACCGTCTCTAGGCCCATGGGCACTTCGGCGCTGACTTTGTTCTTCTCGATGTGGCTGCCAAACCCAAAACCCAAAACGTCACTCCAAAAGAGCCAACACTCAACCTGGTCGCGTTGTTCTCATCGCCGTTTTGTTGTTATGGAGACTGTAGTGTTTACACTGGGAATACATTTTAATTATTCTAATTTATAAAGAAAATCTTAAGATTTTTCTTTTAGAAGTAACGTGTAGTACTTTATTTTGTAAGATATGTGTTATTGTATAAATGTGTCTCTATCCATAGTAGGTTTCTCTGGTTTTATGGTGTAAAAACTATACTTATTGAGCATTTCTCCCTGTGTATTCCCCTTTTGATCCGGTGAGTAGCCGTCTGAGAAGCAGCGCCATTGGCTCTCTGACAGCCGCCTGGCATGTTCATTTTTATGGGCTCGGAGCCGAGAACAGCTGCATTCTTAGAAGTCAAAAGCGAGACCGGCGGCCGGCAGAAGAATGCCCGCCAGAAGACTAGCTTCTAACTGTGGATGCTGCTGCTGCTGATTGAAGACTCTTCGTCGTCGTCGTCGTCGTAGTCGTCTTGGTGAACTTTCCGTAGGGCGTTGCAGGAGTTTCTGATTATAAATTGAATTTTATTAGTTTGCTTGCGCGCCACATTGATTTATGATTTTTCTACAAAAAGCAGAGCCCAACTAGAACCTGGCTTTGTAGGTTGCCTTTAATTAAGTCCGAGTGTCAATATGATTTATGCTCCTCCACACATGCTCTCGTCTATATAATTAAAGATTCGAAATCGTCCCAGCTTTCGGCTTTCCCTTGGGGCTTCTCGCAATGCTTTTCCAGTTGCGTGCGATTGCATTACGGGTGAAATTTGCCAACTTTTACAAAAGATCTCGGGTCATCGATAACCTTTTTGGCTAGGTTTTGGGTTGCTGCCGCCTCCGACTTGGAGGAGACCGTTCCTGAAACTGCTGCTCCCGCTGATGCTCCTGCTGTTGCTGTTGCTGACATCATCAAATGCGAGTCCGAATCCGCGTCCAAAGCTGGCAATTTCATTGAATGCCTCGGCGTCCGTGGCATCCATTTGGGTTGGTTTTGATTACATAAATTTGGCGCCGTCTGCGATCGCGATGCGGTTCCATTTGCATCTTCAAAGTCCGCATGGAGCGGAGTGGAGTGGCGTGGATCAAATGTGGGTCAGCGGTCGCTCTTCCACTGGGGATTTGGGTGCGGCTCTGGACATCGCCATATGTAATTACAATAACTGCAACTTCCACTTCCATTGCAACTGCAACAGCCACAGCAACGGCAACAGCATCAAAGCAAACAACACGATTCAAGTAAAATGTCTCGAAACCTGTCGCTTTTAATTAAAGGCCCCGCAAACTCCGACTCTAAGTAACTTTTCATGTTTCAAGTTATGCGCACAATTTTAAGCGACAGCCCCAACAAAGGCATTGAACACAAAAATAACTTTTGCATTTAGTCATAACTGCATTTAAAATGTTTGTAAATGTTTATGCAAAAAAAAGAGAAGCACAAAAAGGCACACACAAAGCCAAAAAATGAGGGAAAATCTCTGGTTTTTTGGGCTTGAGTTCGGGTACGACCCACTTCTGTCATGTTGCACGATAAATACTTTGAGATTTATTGTCTGCCGCGGTGGCAGGCATAATTACAATTTATGCCCAAGGTGGTCCCCGAGCCCCGCCTTGTGCAATAGACTCCTACACCGACTCCCGTGTCCCAGGTCCCGGCTCCATCTCCATCTCCATCTCCATCCCAATTCCAATCCCAATCCAAGTTCAAAAGCATGCTTTGAGGAAGCTGTCGCCAAAGACAAAGCCCCATACAAATTGGTAGGGAGCCAAGGAAGCCGTTTGGCTCATACGTTGTTTACCTGTCTCGCAATTGCCATTATTCTTGGCTGAATTGAAAGTGAACACCACCAGACAGACAATATTGGGAATAGAAAAGCTGGTCTAAGAGAGATCGAAGATTTTATACTCTATTAATGAAGCAATAGATATTTATATTACAATATTAATTGATAGATAGCTACAGTAATAAGTAACCAATTGTTACCAATAAAATGAAATCAAGAATTAATCTTATAAGATTAAAAGTGAGTTTGAATTTGCTTAAAATATATTCTTATCCCCATTACCATTTATGGTTTATATCCTTGTTAAAGAATCCAAGTAGTTCCGACATTTTAATTTGTCTTTAATTACAAAACCATTTCCTTATGTTTTTAAGCTCTCTAAAACACCTATTCAAAACCTTAAATTAAAAAAAGAATTCCCAAAAATTCCATAGAATGCTTGTTTCTATGCATACAGGTTAAAGATGAGTTCTTAATGGTTGTTAGTTTCCATTCTCCTTTTTTAATGGCCTCTTTATGACTTCACTACTCCTACTCTTCCTGATTAATGCTTCAAAAATCAAGGAAGTGACTAATTACCATATGAATTCCCCCTTAATTTTATACTAGAACACCTTACACTTCCCCAAGTCCAATTAGGCAATTGATATGACCACAAAATCAGGGTATTTGCAGTGTATCAAGAGGCAAAACTTTCGCATGGGGAGGCCCATTACATCATGCAAGACGACTGGGTCTCGAGCACTTTTGGTCTATTGTTGAGCACATAATTAAGCACCGCTTAGCTTATGTAATTAATGTCAGGCCAAATGGCAGCGTCAAGAGCCGCGTAGAGAGTCTAATGAACCAGCTGCGTGTGCTGATTTATATGCGACTTTTCAGACTGTTTGTTGTTAGCCTGTTGGTTGTCTGCTGGCCGGCCGCTCGTTGTTTGTTTTTCCCGGCCAAATTGTGTTTTGTCACCGTCACCGGCGGACGTCTCTTTCGATCGCGCACTTAAACTTCGTTTATGCGCAGGCTCCGCGCTCGATACTCCAGTTTCGGGGCTCTCGGACCATGTGACATAAGTTGCCATTGCCATGATATATGAATATGACAAAGCGACATGGACAACTTTATTGGCTCATGAAAAGCGCTGTCACTGCCTGACTGACATAAATCAGCGAACGGCAGAAATACTCGCAGGCACTCGTATATTAGGGTCCCCCCACAGCACAAATCCAATCCAATTCAAAAACCGAAAGCTGCAGTCTACGAAAAATAAATCAAAAATCAATATTCGTCAGTTTTTGGCGAAGGGCTGTGTTAGCTGTCATCTCTGGCACATTATAGAGTACACAGGAAAAATAAGGGATTGAAAAAGTACTAATTAAAGTAGGACTGCTTATAAATTTTATAAGATTCCAGTAAGATTTAGGATCAATTTGTTCTGATTTCTATTTATCATATTTTTAAATTCTCTCGAGATTAATCTCCTCCTTTTCCGGTGTACAAGTAGGTGGTTCTAGCACAATCTCCATTTGCATAGCACTGAATATATGCCGAATCGATATCATAGCTCTTATCTGATCGGCACTGTCAACCCAGCCGGACATTTCGCTTCATTCACGGGCAGGGGCAAAAACCCATTTCCCATATGGAAATGAGAGCAACAATTGAACATCGTGCAGCGTTCTATAAATAATAACCGGAGTGGAGCAGAGCAGAGCTTTTTCTGGCCAATAGACACAGTGGCACGCCACCTAGTGGACAAACAAAGCGTATCAGGACACGCTACTCCTTACACACACATACACACACTAGGACACACAATTACGTACCTGAACAAGGCTTCACTTTCGCCTATTTTGTTTTCATTTGAATACCAGGTACTTGTAGGTAGAGGGGTATATATGAATTCATAAGTCTTCAGGTCTTTATTATTATCTTGACTCAAAAGTAAGCGATCAGGAATTAAACTAAATTCATCTAGTTGATACTCTGAATTCTATTGGTCGCATTTTTAGATACAGCTCATTAATCAAAATATTTCATTTAGTTAAAGATAATTTAACTCAACTAAAGGACAATATTAAATAAATTTTTAAGACCCTCTTACAGAATCCCTCACTCTCACATATTTCTCATATTCCTCTGAATATAACTACATTTTAATGGTAGACCAACCTGATCTCTATATAGGATATACCCTAGTCCAAGTCCAAGACCGTTCCAGTCCCACCTAAGACCTAGAACCCTTTTGGCGCTGGTCTCCAACTACTATAACTAAGTGTAAGTGTGCGCCCAACGCGCATGACCTCAACAATTTGACTTCACTTGAAGTGCGAACGCACATGCAAACTGAGGGGCTTGGAGTTGGAGTTGGGTTTGGAATGGCAGCGCAGCTTAGAACGGTCCGGTCCTGTTGCGTGCCCAGCAAATGGCAATGGTCAGGGCTTGGAATAGGGATGAGGAGGAGCTGGAGCTGGAGCCGGAGACGGAGACGGAGGTGGCCGAGTGCCGAACTGACCCTTCACTTTAGCAGCGAATGTTTTGGGTCAGTGCTCAGTTGCGTCGAGTTCGTGACCAAAGGCGGGCGTATTTTTTTACCCAAATTCATATTCATATTCGATATTAATAAATCCTCGGCGGCTGTGACTACTCTGCATCGATTCGCCCATTCGCCCATTCGATCGGCATGATTCGGCGATTGTCTGGCTAGCTGTGAGCCACCACCAATCCGGAGGAAGTCATGGGCTGTGCATCCAGCACTCCCATGGTTGCAACGGCGGGCAGCGAAATGCTGAAAGCCGCCACCCATGTCAAGCAGAAGGGCGAGGCCGCCGTCGAAGGTGTGTGTACAGTGTGTGCTGTGTGTGCTGTGTGTGTTGCCAATCCGGACTAGTCATTGGTTTGTTTTTGGTCGGCAGATGACATTTAAGAGTGGGTCATTCGAGGGAAATTCCAGACTGCCCCCCGAGCGTATACTTGATATTTAGAGCGGATACTTAATATAGCCAGCAGTTGATTTTTAGTTGTGCTTGGTTAGAAATACCTCTTAATTGGTAACATCTAAAAACAGTAAGTTTGGCACAAGTATTTTGAGATGACCCTGACTTTTAGCTTTACTTTTTTAACGAGTTTGGTGCTAGAATGTCAAATGATATTTGAGGGTAAGCTCACGGAAATAAATAACCACTGAAATATATAAGTTTACAATTGCAAAGAATTGTAAATGAATAAATCTAAGAAAAATTCCCTTCATCCTTTAGTGCTTTCTGGCTATTCCTAATTAAAAAGAAGATGAAAAAGTCCTTGACCCATTGCCTTAAATCAATAATTCATTGAGTTAATTAATAACCAGCAACGAGCAAGTAAGTTCTCACTTAATACCACACACAAAGAAATTCGATATATCCCCATACTTAGTATACAGTACGCGGTGAGTGTGCTCGCATTTCGCATTATTATAATAACAAGCCACGTAATAAAGGACAATTGGCCAGCGCAATGCGTGCCGCAGAGCCTTTCGGCCTGATTTCTGTTGGCAGACCGCAGTGAAAGCTGCCTCCACTGCCATTACCCGACCATATTTATATATATGTATATTTATTTAACGCATATGAAGAAAAACGACTTGGTTGCGTGACCGACCCGTCAACGAATTAGAGCAAAACATTGACTTCAAAATATAATACGTACATGTGCACTGAGGGAAAGTGTCCATTGATTGATAAAAAGCCTTTATAATAGCTAGGGAAATGTATGATTTGAAGACTTGAATTCATCATCAAATAATTAATAAATGTGTTATTGTTTATTAACTCAAAATTCTAATATTATATATATATATTTCAAGTCCTTCTTTTGGCTTCTATTTTTCCCACTGTGTAACTCCTCAGGAAATGGCAAATGAAAGTATTTCTATTTACCCTTCTCCTTGCAGACGCCTCTCAGACGCTGACCACTACTCTGGACACGGCCAAGGAGACCGTTGGCACGGCAGTGGCTGGGATTACCAATGAGCTGGGCAACGCCTTCAAGGAGGGAACCCAGGCTCTAGACGAGGCCAAGCACAAGGTGATGGAGGGTCTCCACCTGGAACAGCCGCAGGAACAATCCCAGGAGGCGCCACCTACAGAAGAAGATGGAGGGGCTACGACTGCGGCTGATGTTGCTGAGATGAGCTCATCCCGGGCTCCAACACCCCAGCTGCAGGGAGATGGGGACAGCCTAAAGACCTCCACGCCGGAACCAGAGATTGAGCGGGCGCTGGCCACCGAGGACGAGAGTCCGCCCACGCCGAAGCCCTCGCTGGAGGAGATGGTCAAGCTGAGTGCCGAGGTTTCGCAGGTGGCGGAACCAACTCCATCGGCGGCTCCTGTCAGTGAGAAGCCTGCCGACCAGGCTCCGGCCACCGAATCCTCCGCGCCTGTGGAGTAAGTAAGCCTAGAGAGCACCTGCAGCATCGCAAATCCGTAATCCGCAACCCGTAATCCGCAACCCGTAATCCGTAGCCCCTTCGCAAATCCGTAACCCGTAGCGCCATTGCACCTGAAGTTATCGCGTAGTTATCGCTTATGATTCGTAGTTGCCGCCGTAGAGTTCCGATTTATTATATAGCCTAACCATTAATTACTCTCCCCTCTCTCTTTTTGACCTATGTATGTAAATTGTAAATAAACTATCTCTACTTCTATGTACATATCATATACTCTGCCTTTGTTTACTTGCGATCCCAGCAAACCAAACTAACAAGAACCGCAACAGCAAAGTCTTGTACGTAGTATTGTGGTAATATTTCAAATATCCAACACGGTTATGAACTCTGATTTTCGGTTAACCGAATGAAAAGGGCTTTTGCAAAGCTAAGGAGCTAGGAAAAAGCTAGAGAAACTTTAGAGATTAACAATGAAAGTTTGAACAATTTTAATAATAACCCAACATAATGTCAGGTTGATTAAGACAAACTTTAATTTACTTTAGGAGCTACTTTTGATGTTTTTAATTTTTTTTAAATGTATTCTAATTAAAATTAGATAATTATCCAATTTTGAGAAGATCGTAGCCTCTATTTATGTGCCACAAAAGCCTAAATTCATTTCAGTATCAATAGCATATTACTAACTCCGCATTAACGTAAAATTTACCTTAAATTCTCTTAAATTCTTTTTAAATTCAGAGATGACAAACCTCAAATATAAATTTAAGAATAATATATGAGATAGTCAATAAAGACTCACTTACTTAATTATCAAGAGCTCTTGAAGGTTTTACAAAAGCTCATTTAACAAAGACACTCACATATTTACCACACACAATTAACACCTCAAAAATAAGGACAAACCTTTGACAGCTTTTACTAACACGCCTACATTTTTATACACCCAAATCCACAAACACACATAAAACTCACTCTGGAAATCCCAGGAGTCGCAAGGTACGTCGACGTTTCGTCCAGAAGAAGAAATCAGAAAAGGAACAGGAGCAGCCACGACCCAGCACCACCGAGTGGGAGAAGTTCGCGGATCAACTGGCCAAGAGCAAAAAGTTCAAGCCTTACGAGAGCTTCGCCCATAGCCACAACAAGTTCTCCGTGTACCAGGACCACACTAGCCTGCGGGACAAGCCGAACCACTATGATGGCCACTTCAGCGGGGGCAACTCGCTGAGCGCCTCCCAGTCGGATCTGTCCAGCGGCCACGTGACGCCTGCTCCGGCACGCCGAGGTCAGCGGGAGTACGCCAAATTCGTGGGCTCCGAGCAGCCAGGAAGTGTGTCGCGGAACAGCTCACGACTCTCGAATCCCGCCGCTTCCAGGACCTTTGACTTTAATCCACAACGCGATCGCATCAGTCTTCCTATGGCCACCGGTCGCATCGGTTCGGGCATCCAGAGACTTCCAGCCGAGAGGACTCCCGGTTGGGGCCGGGGCAGACCAGCGCCCTTGGAGGAGGAGCCCAGCTTTGGCCGGAGGATGAGCTTGGGTCTGGTATCACAGCCCCTGCGACCGGACAGGGAGAAGTTTACGCCCTCTATGAATCGCAGGGCAGTGAAACCGATTTCGTCAGTGAAGGAAAAAGCGTCAAAGAAGCATCCTCCCAAGAATATCTCTTCCAGAGAGTCTTCCCACTTGGAGTTCGAATCCCGAAAAGCGGACAAGAGTCCCTCCCGGGTAGCGAAACCTTTGACTAAGGATGTAGTGCGCTCCAGGGAGCCGTCTTATAATGAATTCGATTCTTTGAAGGGAGAGAACATTCCATTGAGAACACAAAATTCTTTGGATAAGCTAAAGAAGTCTCCAAAGAAAATCTCTTCCAGAGAATCAACTTATATGGAGTTTGCATCTAAAACAGATGAAAAGAGTCCTTTGAGAACACAAAAGCATTTGGCAAAAGATGTCCTGCGTTCAAGAGAGCCATCTTATACTGAGTTTAGTTCGCTTAAAGGAGAAAGGACTCCTTTAAAGGTAGGAAAACCCCTGGGGAAAAATGTAGTGCGATCCAGAGAGCCATCTTTTACCGAACTTCCGTATCAAAAAACCGAAAAAAGTCCTTTAAGGGGACAAAAGGCAGTACAACGATCCAGAGAGCCATCTTATACCGAGTTTAGTTCCCTTAAATCAGAAAAGACTCCTTCAAGGGCAGTAAAACCATTGGGGAGAAATGTAGTTCGGTCCAGAGAGCCTTCTTTTACTGAGATTCAATATATAAAAACTGAAAAGAAACCATTAGCAACACAGGCTCTACGATCCAGAGAGTCATCTTATTCCGAATTGAATTCCTGTAAAGCAGCTGAGAGTCCTCTAAATATAGGAAAACCCGTGGGCAAGGCTATACTTAGCTCCAGAGAGCCCTCATATACCGAATTTGAGGCAACGAGGACCGATGAACGTCCACTAGGAGTTGAAAAATCTTCAAGCAAGGACATTGTTCGCTCCAGAGAGTCATCCTATTTGGAATTTGATTCTTTTAAAACTGACAAAATACCTTCATTGTCAAGGGATATAATGAGCTCTCGAGATTCATCTGATATTGAATTTGATTCCTTCAAGACTCCCACCAAGCAAACAACATCTCCAAGCTCCAAGGAACTCCTACATGCTTCTTCAGAGCAACTACCTCAGAGACAACTCAGTTCAAGTTCCAAAGCCCAAACCTCAGAGTATAAAAACCCGAAAATATCTTCTGTACCTGAAACACCACAAAAGAACAAAACCCCAGAAGCTCCTCCTTCCACCTCAAAGGTGCCTTCACCTTCGACCTCGCGTCTATCCAGCGCCAAATCCTCAGACAGCAGTAACATGGATGTGGTAATCCAGCCCATGAGCAACCTCAATCAGGACACGCCCAGCATGAAGTCCTTCTCCCAGTCACCGGACCAAGTGGTGATGGAAGGATACGCCGATTCAGATCTAGAGGCGGCGCTGGCAAGGCTCGAGATCCTAAGGGGATCCACAGCCACACTGCACTCTCTAAGATCCTGCAGTCCTGGCCGGCACACCTACACTGCTGCCTCCCTGCTGAGCTCCCGACGCACCTCGCCCTGGGTGATGAGAAAGGACTACGGCGGCTCCCTCGTTGGCAAGGAGAGTACCCACAAAGTGGCTCAGCCACCATCCATCCAACAAACCCTCGAACGCTGCGATATTTGCTCTAATGAGTTTCTTTTAAAGTGAAGTACATAGTCTTAAAAATTTTATATGTTTGATAAAGATTTTAAGAATTTACTGCCATATAAATATATAACTCTTAATGCTTAAGTCATTATTAGAAATAAAAGTTCAAAAATACTCCCAAGTGATAAAACAAAATATAAATCTTGTTAAAATAACCAAATGCCTCATTAACTTCTTGTACATTTACTAGTAATTAAAGTAACTAATTACCTTCTTCCAGGATTCTCTAAAGATACAAAAATAGATAGTATCTTATGTCTTAGAGAAATATTTATTTAAAAATTAGTTAGCCATAGTAAATAATGTTTTATACCATTCCTAGACTAGCTATAAAGAAATCCAACTCTTACAAAGCCACCTTCCCAACGATAATTAAGAAATAAAGAAGTTTATAGCATTCGTTACGTTTTATAATTGCGAAACTTGAATTGCAGCCGGATTGCTTTGATTCGAGCCAATTCTCATGGGCCCAAATCAAAAAACGAATCGAGTGCAGTGGGCCCCCTGATTTTCGGCTCCCCTAATGGATGACTTAATAACGAAATTGAAATGTTTATCTTGCCGTTCACTCAATTATTCTGCCACTTGAAGTTCGCTTTCGGTGGCTGTGCATAGCAGTTGGTTTTACGGCTTACGTTTTACGGTTTCGCGTTCCGTGATTCCACATGGCTCCCATGTCTCCCGTCCGTGACTTAATGAACTATTAACAGCAATGATAGTAATTTGTTGTAGCAGCCTCAGCCCCGACATCGGCTTCGGCAGCGGCAGCGGGTAAAATTGCTTTTGGCCAACACAACAAGTGGTCTTCATGGCACTTTTTGGCAAACAAATAGACAGTCGGACAAAGCGACGTGCAGACAAATGACTACAGTGGATACAAGCAGCAGCGGACATATATCTGCATGGATATGCCATGGATATTCGCGGGGGTGTTTACCACATCTGTCTGCCTCATTCCCCCTTGCTCACCCCGTCGCACCTGCTGCAGCCCGCAAATTGAGTTTGGCTGCAGCATCGGCATCTATTTTGGCACGATTTTCGAATTACGTTCATTGACTCGCAAAATGTTTGCTTTATGCCGCAATTAATTTCCAAGCGGAAGAAGCAGTGCCCCAAAGCGCCAAACAAAAAGGCAAGCAAAGCGCGATGGCAAGGTCGAAGCTGGGAACACTCTGGGGGTGTAGTTGGTACTAGGGAATAATTGAAGATATTCTTAGATATCTGTAAGTATAAATCGTATTCTATGTTTAATATTAAGAACTATTTACAACTATTTCCTCTTTCTTATTTTAGTCATACTTCCTAATTTATAATCATACCCTTTGAAAGGGTATAAAAAGCCTCCAAAAAGGTGAGGGGTCTCCGAGTTGAAGGTCTTCTGCGGCTTGTGGCGTGACATTGAAAGTGAAAGAACAAGTTTTGATGGGTTGCTGTTGCTCGGCGGTGCTTTTTCGTTGGCATTTCTATTTTTAATGACTTTTTACATGGCCACTTGGTTCATTGAACGCAGCCACGCACAAAACAAAAACACAGAAAACCAAAATAGCAGAAAAAAATATGAAAAAAAAAGACTGCCGCTAATGATCTATGAAGTGCAAGTGTTTGTACTTTTACTTTCATTTATCAAAAGTGGAGGCGTCATCTCTTTCGGCCCGGCCGAGACAGTGGAAATTAGCAGCCGGCAATGCAAGAAATGCATTTTTAGCACTTCATTTTCTGGTTGCTGCATTTACTCACTCGGCCGCCTTGGCAGTTAGTTGGGTTTTTGTGGTAAAACGTGCTTTTAATCAAATTTACATGTGCCAACGTTGTCCGTGAGCATACGCACTGTGGGCCGGCGACGGGAAAACATTAAAATCGGTGTGTTAAATTGATTTATGCAATTGTTGTTGGGGGGCAACAGCAGCTGATTTGTTTATATGTTCGGAGGCAGCAACAAGCATGGTAAATCAATAAGTTTATGCAACAGGCGCCGATAAAATCGACGAAAATCACCGAAGACAATGCCTGCCATCGGCTCAACAGAGCTTCCTGCTACACTTACCGCCGCTGTTACAGTTACAGTTTCGCCGTATCCGCAAGTTAACATTTTTCGACCAGTTTTAACAGGGCCTGTACAGGCGCCAGCTGACTTAACAGCCGCTCTGTGCGCAGGCGCATTTTTTCGAATTTTTCAATTAATGTTTTCCTTGTTTTTCACTTGTTGCCGCTGCTGGCCGGCGAAATGGCAATCATTTGTTAGGCAAACATTTCTACTTTTCGGCTGCTTTCGTTTGGCCTTTTGCTAACATTTTGCATAACCTGGGTCAAGACGGAAATGCTGGAGGAGGCCGGCCATTAATAATCTTTGGCTCTCGGCTCCTGGCACTTTGGAGGCTTTGAGGCTCAGCTGCCCGTGAAGCTGCTGGTGACTTCTTCGATGCGTTTTGGGCTCTGCGCAGCCTTTGTTTATGCCGGTTGGCCTAAAACGAGCCCAAAGCCAGAAGAAAAAGTCGGGTCCGGAATGTTTAAAGCCACCCTAAGAAAATTAAGAAAACCTCTAAAACCTCTAAGTCAAAAATTCATCATATATTCTTATTTTGTACAGTGTTTTATTTTTTTATTTTGCTCTTTACTATAAAAAACAATGTCTTTCTAAAAATAAGAAAGCTTTTTTCAGTTTAAAAACAAAATCGAAAAGTAAAGAGACGCTAGTGTGTGAATTTTAGATTATTATTTCTAAAAACTAATTTATATTTGTATATAATTAAAAATAATTAATGAAAACTTCGTCTTAAAATATGAAGGTTTCATAAACCTCTTGTTATTTTATATTTTTACTCTGTAAACCGACCCCATCCAGTCGATGTCCCAATCTGTTTTTACTTCTGCTCTTTATCCGACCTGCACTTTTTCCTCCTCTGGGCTGGTGTTCAGTAGCCTCCGCATAATCCAAATTAAATTGTCAAGAGAAATGACAATTCAATACACACAATCTTGTTAAGCAAATATGAAAGAAAATACCAAAACAAAAAGCACTCTGTCATCCCTGCTCTCCAACAAAAGCGGAGACAGCAGGAAAGAGTGAGAGTGAGACTCAGGCTGAGACTGAGACCGAGACCGAGACTGGCTCCGGAGGTTCCAAAAAGTGTCAAATTAAACTGTCAGAGCGACTTTTAACCCATTTTCGTGGGCCATTACATAAGCTACTTATCAGTTGATAACTGGGGGCTCTCTCGGGGTGTTGGAAATACTAATAGGGAAATGGAAATGCGAGTGCGTGGGCGGTGCGAGTGTGGACTGTGTAGCATGGAGCGGTCAGGCGCATAAATCAGCTCGGACACTCAGCCACTCGAGTTCATTCGCTCATGCGTCAGCCCGAACAAAAGACTTGGACAACGAACTGCAGATGCAGTTGCAACAGAATGCATCGCCCCACCCCCCCTCAATGCCCTTTCCCCGCCCGAATGTGTGAGTGTGTCAACAGCTGGGACCGTCGCTGCATATTCTTAACCATGTGTGTCTAGCCCTACCCAATCCATAGCCCCCGGCTTATATGCCACTGGCTATGCCCGGGTCTCCACCTCCGCCTCCCAGTCGCATTCCCATGTGAACTGCGCTAATTCGTGACTACTCTGTGCTGCGACTGCTGAGGACCCCAGCATATACAGATACACAGGTAAGTGCACGGAAAGAAATGGGTTTATTATGTAAATATAATATTTTTATTATTTAATTTATTTAAATTGTATGTAGATTGTATAGATAAATTCTTATCAACAGCTTTATTACTCTTCGCATGATTATAGGTACATATTTATTTAACATTATTAAATATCTTTTAAAGGCAATAGTTTATTTATTTTGCCCTTTTTACTTTCAGGTCCTCCTAAAACAAAAGACTTAGGCAACAAAATTTTACATTTTAGTGTCACTTTTAAAGAAAGACTTTTAAAGATTTTTCCTAAATTGCTAAACTATTCTTAATTATTGAGATCTTGAGCTATATTTTCCATAAAATAAATACTTAAATAAACATAAAATCAAAACTTGGAGGTCTCTTCTCTTGAAGGTTCTATAATATTTTTCTTTCTATAATGGACACAGCCAAGAACCAATGCTGAAAGCCCTATACAACCGCCACCCAGTCCATCCACCCGTTCGCTTCTCCCTCTGGACTCTGTGAACTAGGGAAACACATCTGTGATAGATTTGAATGACCCACTCCCAAGGCTCGAACCCGAACCCGCACTCCAGCTACTGCCTCAAGAGCTGGCGCTTGTGACTCAGAGATCGGCGAGCTATATGTCCCATTTCGAAGGCGACTCCTGCCCACGCCGCAGGCGCAAACACTTTACTTTTGTTTTCAAGACAGTCGCAGTTTCAGTTGCAGTTGCAGTTGTGCCGTCTGAGGCCCAGTTTTAAGTCACAGTCCCGACGCAAATTACTATATACTCGTTCTCTGTGGCGGGACTCCGATTCGGATTCGATTTTTACGGGGTTTTTCTTCTTCAGCGTTCGACAATGTTGTCGTCGTTTTCGTTGTGGTTGTCTGGTTGTCGCTTTCGTAGTCACACAAAGATAGAAATCGCATGACACGATCTTGTAGCCCGAAACAGGCGCCAGTAACCCAGTTTTCAGGTTTCAGACCAACGTATACTCGTAGGAAAAAAAGCGCCACAGCCACTGCGATGACTCCCTTTTGGCCGAAAACCAAAACCAAAACCAAATGAAAATGAAAATGAAACGTTTTGGGCATAAATAAATAATGACAACAGAGCAGCCACCAAAAAGGTAAAAACAAATGATCCGCCTGTGCCTGTCCTCCCTGCATTTGCATTTGTTTGCATGCCTCTGCCAAAAGGGTATAGCCAATTTATTGAGAGGTTTAGGATACAACAAGATTATGCTTTATACTATGCTATATATGAATAAGAGAACTGAAAAGTAATTAGTTTTTTATTTCTTTTAAATATTGTTATAATTCTTGAAGATTTTTAGATTTTAATTGACTTTCAGAT